CGAGAGGGCCCGGGTTCGACAGTTTCCACTAACTGCAGAGCTAGGTCGAATTCAGCGCCGCCTGGAGCAGGATTATAGCTAAATCGATTTTTCCATCAATGCAATTGCGTTTGAACAATGCGTTTTATTGGTCCTTTCTTGCAACTACTTGATATAGCTAGCTTCATTATAGCATATGTGCTTTAAATGTTGCATTATGTACTTTTAATGTGTTCCTTATTGCTCAAAGAAAATGAGCGTTGTTGAAACAAAAGGGCAAGCTAATAATTACTTTGTAATCTATCTTAGTTCAATATCTGTCGGTGTTAATTAATTATGGTAATAAATGGTGAATGTAGTAGAAAATTGTGATGGCACGGTCTTTGATTCAAGTTTAAATTACTAAGTTAAATTGATATGTGATTACAATGTCAGCTTGTAACGAATTTCAGTAGTTGTAAGAGAATACGTGTTTATTATTATGTACACAGACGTTTGGCGAGATTCACCCATATTGGGTCGTATTTTATTAGTCACTCACAGTCTAGTCCTCGCCATTGAGAAGACGTGTGGGTTACAAACTTTGATATTTTTAAATGAAAATGTCTTATTCAATTTATTTTATCTTTAATCGCTTGAGGATGACCATTTCAATACCATAATTCATAAAAATTTGCAGTGAAATTCCATGGTAATGTAACAGGAATCGTAAATATCATTTATCACTCTTGTTTCTGTCAGCCGTCCAGATTCAGCTGTATTAAATTGTAGATTACTTATGTTTTTTCCCAAAGTCACTAATCTGGAGAACATTTTCCCTGCCAGAAACGCAAGCTCAGTGATAATTCCTTCACCATATTAACTTCTATCTTTATATTTATTTTTTGATTTATTTAGTCAAAAAACTGTAAAAATTGTTTGTGACGTATGGGGGAGAAAATAATCTACGCACGTTTTCCAGAATCCCTTCTCATCATTTTAACTATAAATAGCTGGAAGATGAGTAAAAGTTAAAGATAAATAAATAAAAATTGCATGTAAAAAAGCGCGAGATTAGTGATAGTTAAAAAACAACTCATTTTCTTCCCCGAGTCTTAGAAAACGTTTTTGCTACGGTTAACAGGCAGATTTGATTTTTGCAGATTTGATTTTCGGCACTGCTAACAAAATAGTAACTCGCCCTTACCTTCTACCACCACAAGCAAAAGGAGAGTTCAACGTAACGTGCGAATAGTGAAGCTACATTTACGTCCAGAAGCAAAACAAGGGGCCACCTCAGCATTTGCTCAATGTATCTGGGAAGCAGGACAAAACCCTGATCGAGATGGGGGTCATTGACCCGGATGCTGAGGTACATTATTTGTTACAAGCGTATTAAGTCTGTTTAAAAAAATTATACAATACAAATGAAAACTATTTCATTATATATCACTGTTTGGTAAATAAATATTATTTTTCTTTTTGTTGACTGTATAGTCTCTAGTCATATAGAAACACTTATGCAGTAGAAAATATTTTACTTTTAACTTAAATTTGTGTACCGACTTCAGTTGTTTAATGACATCTGGTAATGCGTTGTAAAGTACCGTACATGATGTCGATTTTTGGTAGTGAGCTGTTGATACTGACACTTGATTAATGTGATTTCTACGACGTGTGTTGTAATCATAAACATCAGTATTGGATGGAAATATGTTTGCATCGTTAAGTAAGTCAGTTTTGACAAATATGACAGATTCGTAAATAAATACGCAAGGCTGTCGTAAGATTCCAAGCTCCTTTATCTTTGTAGCTATGGTTCTTAAGATTCAATTCCCAGTCATTCCATGAGAAATTTGCGTTTGGCTTAATGGGATATGACATATTTTCTTCTCTCTTCTTTCCGATTTCTATGTATATCGTACATGTCATTTTCACGTTAATGATTACATTACCATCTCATTGCAATCACAAAGGGATGCAGTAATGGGAGGTCCGATTCCTTGTAAGATGAGATACTCAACTTTTACTTCATCTTTTTCACCTAATTTCTCTTTTCCTTCTTTATTTCCTTCTTTTTTCTCTTACTTCTTATTATTATATTATTATATTATTATATTATTCATTATATTATTATTATTGCATAACCAGTCGGCAAAACTACCTTGTGCGCTTTCGCCATCCATCCCAGTTCATTGACATCACCCGTCTTTGACGAGTGTGATCCCGGTGGAGTGAGCTGAAGCCGCGCGCCTGCGCCGCAGCTGCGCTCGGGTAAACTTGGGCCTGCGCTGCTAGCATCTTGTCGCGAATCTCCTTCGTGAAGCGGGGAAGGCTAGTTGGGCACGCCTTCGCAATGAACGCCTCGCCGCCCCACTCGCTCCCGCCCGCCCCCCCGCCCTGCCCGCCCGCTCGCGACGCGCATCCGGGAATCGTCGCGCCCGCCTCGCACGTCCTCGTCCTCAGCCCCCCCCCCTCCGCCCTGCTCCGCCCCCCGTCGCGCTCATTACTCGCAGCGCGCGTAACGACCGGCAGTTGTTAAAAAGCGGTGAATGGGGGAGAAGGAGGAGGAGGAGGCGGCGAAGAGAACGGGGGTGAAGAAGGGGAGTCGGCGGTGATGATGGGGCTGCGGCGAAAGAAACGGCGGTGTCGAGTGGAGTGGGGGCGAGGGGGCGGCGGTGAAGAGGAGGTCTTCTCACATGTGATGTAGTCCCAGCGAAGAGTGAGAAAAGAAACCTCTAGTAAGGCGTTATATCCTCCATGAGACTAAGCAAAACTTTAAAATGAGAGGTTGAGAATTCGGTTCATATATGATATTTCAAATTGATTCCAACTGCACACCAAAGTAGCAGCAGTTGAAGCCCAATGAGTGGAGGGGGAGAAGGTGTGCGGAGGAGGTGGGGACGGCGCAGAGCAGCAGGATTAGGAGGGGAGGGGGAAGTCGAGATGCAGTGGCAGGTCTGCCTGCAATGCAATGCGCCGGCAACGTTGCTGGTAAAGAGATGGTCTCTCGAAATTCAGTGAGGGATAAAGCGGAAACACTTTTAACCAGCTTGCTAGCCTGATCCGTTCTTATACTTTTCGGCGTCGCTTTCGCCCCTTGTGGACACAAAGCTATTTATAATATACTCATCTGGTCGAAATTATAAGCATTTTTCGCGAAATTCAAAGACTCCAGAGAGTAATTACAGTAAGTCACTCGTAATTAACACTTTTGATTGAAACAATCGATATATTTTGTGCTAAAAATTTACTTTCGCAATATTGCAGTTTTGTTATCGACACTTCAAAATTATCTTTTCACTAATATTGGTGTCAATATTGATTGACGGTATATAAAATATACCAAGTGCATTTTTAACTTAATAAGGTTGATGGCACGCGGAAACGATTCAAAGGAACGAACCTCTTCTGTGTCTAATGCGTACAACAGACGCTGCCACTCATTTCAAAGATCAATAAACCTGGGTAAACAATTACCGCCAAGCGACGTCCCTGATGCCTTCTCGTCGTGTGAGCGCCGCCGCGCGCAGCGAGCACGGTGGGCGATGCAGTGCGCTGCCTGGGCCTAAAATGTTGGTTAATAATTATCAGCACCACAAACTTCAAATGATCAGACTAACACCTTAGTTTTATTTTTACACCTTTTTCAAAGAAAAACGTTTTCATGTTAAACCATTAGGACGAATAAAACTTTTTGCTCACTAATGGAGTTCACCATTATCTTAATTATATTGCTGTGAACCTGTATATCAATACATACATTATATGTGATATATAAATACAGAAAGCAGTGATTTTATCTTAATATTCTGTCTTTATGTTAAAGGCCGACGTACAGTCTGAATGACTTGGAAAAACATAGACAGACAAATTATAATGTTAAAACAAAAGAAAAGTGTTTAAAATAATTAAAATTCGAAGTTGAAATGCCATATGAAACATTTGACAGTGAATTGTAGAAGCGGGCGCTTTGGAGAGTGGGGCGAAGGGAGATGGCTGGGCGTCGGCGGAGGAGGCGTGAGGGGACGGGGGCGCGGCGGCGGGTGCGGGGGGGTGCGCCGGCTCCTCTCTGCCATAACACCAGCACAGGCGCGCGCTTCACCCGTAACCGACCACTTACACATACCACTGCGCGGGCCTTCGCCTTCCTTCCCCTTCACCCCCCCCCCCCAACGGCGACACAAGCCGCTCAATTACTCTCGAAATCTCCGAGGCGGAAACGCGATGAGGTGTTGGGCGGTGATGCGACATCGGCAAGGAAACGTCGATGTTGCCAAACATCGATGCTCAAAAGTAAAACATCCATGTCAATAATACACGTTGAATTCGTGCGCAGCAAAATTTAATTTGGCAGTAGACGCATATATCAATTTATAATTAAATTTTAACTGAAAAAAGGTTAAAACGCCTTTTCGTGTGCGAATTACGAGAATAAATGAAGGAAATACCAGAGTTCATTATGTATGATAGTGCATAAGAAACATAATTCTGTCACACCAATTTCCGTTCATTTCCTCCATGTCTCTACTTAATCCCCAAAACTGATTTGCAAAATTGACCTGTATTCTCAAAAAGTCTCGTTTTAAGGGATCTAGGACAACATTTTTATCTATGTATAATTGTCACCAGCCTGCCACTTGTTTTGGATGTGTTTACGCTCAGAAATATGTTACGCAAACGAAAAAGAATACCAAGTTGTGACCTAGTTACTGAGTAACAAATGTATTTTAATAATTAAATTTGTTCAAAGAATTGTCATCCCGGCTAAGATTCGAAACGAGGAGATCCTGATTCGAATCCCAGTTTGGGTAACAATTATTTGAACAAATTTAGTTTTTAACTATGTTTTTATGACATATGCAAAATTAATTGTTTTCATTTTAAATCTGTTGGATGCGGGATTGGCGAGGGGTAATCGCAGTAGGGTTTTATATTGCTGGTTGCTTATAAATTGTTAAAAACATTAATTTATCCTTCGCCTACTCCCTGCGCCCCGCCGCCCTCCTTCCTTTGGTGCTGATGAATTGCGTGCGTTGCAGGGCCAAGTCGAAGAACGGCGGGCGCCTGCTGCGGGAGAAGCTGGAGAAGATCGGGCTGAACCTGCCCGCGGGCCGCCGGAAGGCCGCCAACGTGACGCTGCTCACCTCGCTCGTCGAAGGTAAACATGCCGAGTGCTCGCAAGTAAATAGGTCTGGCTCAGGAGGAAGGTGTACTTGAATATACTTGTTAAGTTTGAAAAAAGTGTAAAAGCCCATTTTGTGGGTTATCATTATTTACGTTCAATGTCTTAAAACATTGAACACAAAAATCGCAATTGCTTACATTACAAGTACAAAGTCTTCATCTCTGCAAAATCCTTTTATCAAATTCACTCGCGTGCTAAAATATTTTTCCTAGGACAACCGCTAAATGTCCTTATGCATGTGGAATCCTTGCAAAAGTGCTACTCCTTGCGTTTGATATTCAAATTTTTGCTTGCTCAGTGCGGTCGAAGTGCGTGAATACCTAATGGGCGGTGCATTTGTGTGTTGTGTGTGAAAGAATTGTTTGCATATTTATTTACAAAGTGTATGTATTTCATGTTATTTGCGACGTGTATGTGTCGTTTTATTCTAGGACAGATATTCACAAATTATTTATTTCAGAACTGATGAAAGTTATTTAAAAAGCTGAAAACGTTTTTCCACTGAAATTAAATACAATTGTGACCTACAACTGTAAGCTATTATCGGATTGTGTAAACGATTAGAACAAAGTGCATTTCAATAAATCGTAAATTTTCTCTTAGACGTGTGTAAAGCTAAAAATTAATTCCAGCCGCATTCAGTAGCATTCTCGTAATTTTTTATCAAATAAGGAATAAACATTTAGAAATAAATTGTGTTGATAATTAAATATGAAAAATATTGTTAAGAAAAATCTGCAGTGCGAAGAATATCGCATTATTGCAGCATAACTAAGGAAAATACGAATTTAATTCAGTATTATAAGTTTGTCAACGCTTCCTTTTGTCGTGTTACTGGTGCCCGGGAAACTTCGAAGGACGCAATTATTTTCGGAAGGAAATCGACTACGTCTTTTCGTATTTTCCTCATGAGAGGTAATCTTAGTGGACAAAGATGTGAAGACGTTTTATGTAAGAAAACTTACATAATCATCTCCCTAGCTGTTTTGTAAAGTCACGACTCAGCACAACGTAAAAGCAAGTAGCAAAATAGGTGACATTGTCCCTTATTTATTTTAAACATATTTTCCAACTTAAAGAAGAACAAAATACAGCTGAAGTTTAATTGGTTGGAAACCAACATTTTGTAGGCAACGCGATGTCACCTCGCCGCTTCCGCGGATTTCTTGTTTAATTCTCGCTGACTCACGAAATCTAGCGTTCCTGTCGACTTTAATTTTTTCCCCTCATCGCTTCATTAAAGTTTCGCTTTCTCATGGGGACTTTAATGAGCTTTCTTCGTGGCTCCGTGTTCCTCGGGACAAAGTGGTGTTGATAATTTGGCGCATTATGCCGGCGCCTGTGACCTTGTCGATTCACATCCATCGTGCGGAGGCTCTTTCTAGCTGAATACAACGCAAGTAATAGCCATAAGGACAGAATAACGTCGGTTGCAGGACTACCCGCAGATGATAGAGCGCTTTTCTGTTCGTTTGAATGCTGGTACTTAATTCTCGTATTCGTTAGTTTCTTTATTTAGATTTGATGATGATCCCTTGGAAAAATGTTTGAGAGCTTTGCAATGCTAGATCTTAAATAGTTAAATTACACGCATTTTTCTCTCAGTAATGTCCACTCATGGCCACATGTCACAAAAATGAATGAAAATCACGATTCGCATCGTTTACGATTTCGTATTCCTCGTTAGACAGAAAGTTAAAGTCTTCAAGCTGTAAATTAGAAAATTGCGTTGAACATATTTCAGTAACTCAATACGAAAAGGTATATACGCAAGTATTTTCGTACTAACAAGGTAAATTAATTCGTACTGCAGTGTTTTAGGGTGCCTAATTAAATTCTCTAGAATTCGTCATCACAAAATTTCTAGACTCTTGAACAACATCGTGTTTTGATTGACACTACCTACCAGCTCCAAGAAAACCAGTTTCTTTTGTGGGATGACAAAACGCCCTCCCACTTGCGGCAGTGAATAAGCGACTTCCAGACCCGCGGATGAGCCCTCTTTTTGTGAAAAAAAGAAGGTGGGTAACGCTCGAGCGACCAGGCGGTTTTTGCGGCGGAGGGAGCAGGGTGGCGTATTCCATTAGGAAGTGCATGTTTGGCGGCTTGTAGCGTCTAATCGCGTCGGATAATTTAACGGAATCGCCGATTTCTCTGCGCTTTCTCTGTCCCCGCTGCAGCACGCGACGCCGCCGAAAGAGGGCGTTTAGCCGCGCCGCCTCTGCTCCCTTTTGAGCAGACATTTCTAGCATTACTAGTGTAAAGTCGCTTTTCAACTACTGAGATCTTTTAGTGACTTCTGTAACATTAGGGGTAATGCTAATGGTAACGGTATACGATCGCACACAAATACCCATGCCCCGGGCGGGATTCGAACCTTACCGATCTCGATTATGCAGTACAGCTTCTATAGTTCTGCTTCTGCCATCTTCAGATTGTTTTGTTTCCAGGCGCATACTCTTCTATGGGCATTAGAGCATGTTATGTCTCGAGGGTGGCGGTGTTCCTCGCTCGCTGAAACGTGGGATCCGAAACCGATGTACACGTCGGCTTGCTGAGTTTCCCTCCTCAAAGTATTTCTCGCCAGCAGGGCGGTGTGCCAGCCGGAACAAGCTCTAAATTCCCGACATGCAGGGTGGTGTAGAGGGTGAAAGTCAACTGAGGCTCGTTTCGCAGCCCCTGCCTGTTTCCGACGGTTTGTTTCTTTCCTTTCTGTAGTCTCCTTGTAGGTGCATTTCTCGTGGGCTCTTGCAGCTCTCTGCTGGACCTTGGTGCTTTCGAATCTTACCAGTTCCGCCGCATCGGGACGATTCTTACGTTTTTCCTAAACTCTCAGTTTTTTAAGTATTCTTCCGTATCTTTTTTTTTTAGGAAAAGGTTCCTCTTCCTCTTTAATTAAACTTGTTCTATAGCATCGTCCGCGATAACTGAATGCATTATATCTTTGCAACTGGCCACCGCCACCACCACCTTTCGATTCGCGTACAACACATACTCGCATTGTCGTGCTCTTTCTGATTACTCTTGTCTGTGCGAAATTTGTCTGCCCTCGTCATGGTCTCCATCACAAATAAAAGTTTTAAGAGAACTAATGCGTCATATCTACAAGATGAGAAATTCATAAATTACACCAGAAATATGTTTTGAATTATCACATCGCGAAAATGAAGTATATTATCATTATTTACTTCACCACAATCTGCGTGACTACTATTGTCTGTGTCAGTTTCTGTAAGCTCATATTACCGGCCTTCTTGACCAAACTTTCGCCCATTCCTTCGCAAAATCATTACTTGTCTTACTTTCATTTTCATCACAATGACCACATATTATAGCGTCAATTAAAATAACTATTCTCACTACAATATCTCAATATTTTGAGCTATCAAATAGTTTGAGTTGTTAGGTGATGTTGCAAATTCATAATATGTAAAAGGAACGAAGAGAAAATGAACACTCAGAATCTCATTTTTCATTTCAAATTTCATTTCCGTTTGCGGACTTCAGAATTCTGAGTTCTGCTTACTTCGGAGACTGAGGTTTCACTACGAATGATTGGCACTGGCAAAACGCAAGTTTTCACATGCGCCTTCACCGACGGCCGCTAACACGCTGTCGCTGCTCCCCCTCGCGCGCTGAAGCGGACGGCACCCGCCCGCGCGGCCCCCCGGCCCCCTCGCCACCGCGGAAGCAGCAAAGCGTGAAATGATTGCCGCGGCGGAACACGCGTTTGCACCTGCAAATGAGCCTCCGCCACGCGCCTCCTGCCGCCCCCGCCTCCGCCCGCAGCAAATCACTTGACATCAAACGGAGAGACGGCACTGACACTCCACACCCGACCGTCCAACTACTTCGTAAGGAAATACTACAATTATTTCACACAATTCCGTATATATTCATTGCCACAAGTAAAGAACATAAATTCTTTGAAAAATAATATAATCAAACTAATTTTGCAGCTAAACTTTAACGTTAAGGGACCGAGACTTTTTTCGTTCTACCTCCAGCCTCCTAAATCTTATTTCCCTTGCGTGTGCTGCTTTAAAATATTCCACATGGGCCATTCGAATGAGGATACGGTAGTTTGAAGAGGACGGAAGCAGCGCTGTCGAATCTTTTTCGCGGCCATCAGCCTCTGGCGCGCGGGCCTTCCGCTTGGGCCCCGGCCTTCCTAGCGACTTCCCGCGGCGCCGCATCGCCCCATCGCCCATCGCCCATCGCCCAGACGCTCCGGGCGCGGCGCCGCCCGCCCACGTGCGGGAACGGGTCAGCATCCGCCCTCGCTCCTTCATGCTGGTCGTTTATTAATTTTTTGGCTAATAGTTTGTTCTACCAAACAGAGGAAGGAAAAACAACTTTTAACAGCCGCCATCCGTTAAGGATTAACGGTTCGCTGTCCATTAACAACAATCCAAGCACATGGGTGGTGGTTGGGGGAAGAGTAATTCTGTGCCAAGCGAAGTAATTTCTTTTTTATATCTTTTTTTATAAAAAGGTGTCAGTAAAAAGAGGATTCAAACACACAATTAATGATCTTGGTTGGTTATACGCTCTACATCTGTATAGTAATATTATTAACTATTTTAATTCCACAAATGTAAAAGAAAAAATTGTCACAGAATAGTTTTGCTTGATACGTTACTGATTCGGAAGTCCAAGTGCAGCAGAGAAATAATAGCAGAAAGATAATTTTCCTCAGACTCCGACACTTGATCAAGCCGTTCTAGAGAATCTGGCTTTTGCCGGTGGCGTATCTGTCGCAAAATTATTGTTCCTTGATGTGCGAACAATGAAATAGTCACCAGCGGAGAGAGATTTACCGCCAACGGCAAGAAGATTCGTCTAGCCCTGCGTGTTCGTGAGCAAATATCATTATCACCGTCTCCCTATGGACCAGTAGACGTGTTGCGCTTTATACTGTGCTCGTTTCCTACATAAGGATTCTCGCGAGGATTTCCGCCACTCGTCAACTG